ATGGAAATTGAATAATGTGCGATTTCACCATTCCTGGGTCTAGGAAGAAATAAAAGAAAGAAATTAAAGACTTCCTAGAATTCAATGATAAAGAAGACACAACATACCCAAACTTATGGGACACTTTGAAAGTGGTAAGAGGAAAGTTCATAGCACTAAGTGCCCACATGAAGAAACTGGAGAATAGTCATACAAAGAATAGACACACTAGAGAATTAATAGCACAACTGAAAGCTCTAGAACAAAAAGAAACAAACTCACCCTGGAGGAGTAGACACCAGGAAATAATAAAATTGAGAGCTGAAATCAACAAAGTAAAAACTAGGAAAACAATACAAAGAATCAATATAACAAAGAGTTGGTTCTTTGAGAAAATCAACAAGATAGACAAACCTTTATCCAAACTAACCAAAAGGCAGAGAGAGAACATGCAAATTAACAAAATCAGAAATGAAAAGGAGATATAGCAATGGGCACTGAGGAAATCCAAAGAAACATCAGGTCATACTTGAAAATGTGTACTCCACAAAATTTGAGAATTTAAAGGAAATGGACAATTATGTGGATAGATATCAATATATTAAATCAAGAACAGATAAGCAATTTAAATAGACCTATAGCCCCTAATGAAATAGAAGCAGTCATCAAGTCTCCCAACCAAAAAAGCCCAGGGCCAGATGGTTTCAGTGCAGAATTCTACCAGAAATTCAAAGAACAGCTAATATCAATTCTCATCAACTTGTTCTACACCATAGAAGCAGAAGGGTCATTGTCAAACTCTTTTAATGAGGCTACAATTACCTTGCTACCAAAGAACAAAGACACATCTAAGAAAGACAATGTCAGACAATGAAAGGAGTAAACTAAATTCAAAGGCTTCACTTCTAATAATTTAGAAATAAAGGGACCAGACCCTTACTCAGTCCTCTGCTTTAGCAGCCATAACAGGCTACAGAAAAGACATATAGGCCTCTGACACAAGGAAACTCTGGCCTCCTGGAGCCTAGGGCCAAAACTGAACACAAAGAAACTCCAGACCATCCCCCAACCCCTCCACTTCCCCACCCCCTCCACCCCACCCCCACCCTGGCCTCCTAGATTCTTGGTCCCTGGGAACTGTTTGGCCACAAAAGAAACTCCAGGGGAGACCAAAACCTCCCCTGTAGTCTCCAGAATACTGTTCTGAAAACTATTGGTATCTATAAACAACAGGCCACCTGCAAATAACAAGACAAAGCTACAGAAACCACAGAATGTTCCCACTCAGCACTGACCAAAGAGAATAATTGGCACACAGGTATTTCATGCCAAAAATATGACTTTGAGAAATTCTCCTAATTGTTCCCAAATGTCAACCAGTCAGAACCAACCCATAACCACTTGTGTAATCCTGTAACTTTTGTCTTTAAAACCTAGCAGTAGACAGGGAACTTCACTTCCTGTAGAGGCTACTGTACCAGCTTGCTAGACAAAATCCCTGTCCCGGTAGATGAACAATCAATAAAACCTTGCTTTTACAGTTTGGTGGGTCTGTATTCCTGGTGGTCTCTGGGTACTTTGCAACTTGGGCACAATATTTGGGGGCTCATCCAGGATTAGGTCCAGGATTAGGACCTAAGACCCCTAAAGGTGTAAGTCTGACCAGACTGGTAAATGTTCTGTGTTTATTTGTCAGGTTTCTGTTTTATCCAGGCAAGTTCCGCTTTCTGTTTCTGGCTGTAGGAGCTTTGGCTTAAGTTTCCTCTCCAGCTGGTTGGGTGACCAGTTAGGCAGGTTTCTACACCTGTCATGGTCCTCTGCTCACTTCCACTCTAGCTGGTCTGGTGAGTTCTGTGTCCTGAGTTCTGTGACAGGCTTGTGATTTTAAGGTTTTGTGATTTTTATGTTTCTGTTTTTGGTTCACTGACTGACAATCTGAAACCGTAAGAAACAAATCAAGAAGGCCTTGGCAGACGTGCTGTAAGGTTAGAACTGGAGGAGCTGAGACATGTCTCAGCTTCTTGATTTCTTGTTTGTGTGGGGATCCCGCCATCTGATTCTAAATTTGGGTAAAACTTCGGCTAATTAATGCACCATCTGAATCTGAATAGCTACTGGGTAGTTTGCCTCCCGACTATAAATCTGAAACCTGCAAGTCTTTGAGATGGGCCCCTTTCTTTTGCCTAAGTGCTGTGCTTGTTTGTCTTCTCTTGTCTTGATGGTACTGACAGTACAGACCTGACCAGGATGTAACCTAACATGGGACAGACACCCTCCTCCTCTCTAGATCTCTGCCTGACCCATTGAAATGACATAAAACAGAGAATCTGGGATTGTGGCTAAAAATGTTGGGAAAATTTCCTTTTCTTTCAGGAACACTGGCAGCCAACAACAATCTGTGCTCACCAGTGCTGCCCCCCTCCCTAATTATGCCTCCCTAATTAAGCCAAAGGAAGCTTTGATTTCAAAATAAAAGTCAAAGATACATCATGTTTAGAAAAAATATACTTTTACTTCCACAGGAAAAAAATTATATGGGCTAATAGTCATTTATGGTGGCTGCACACAGCAGCTCCCATAAAAGATAGATCACCCCAGCTGATGGCTGCAGGCCAGTACTACCCTGATGCCTGGGCAGAGTCTTTCTGTGCTGCAACTCACCATGGGCAGCTAGCAGCCAACTCAAGCAGAATGGTCAAGGTACAAGTTTTAATGTTTAATGGGTTAATACGATGTTGCCGTCTGTATGTCCTTAGTAATAAAATGCCTGTTCATGGATTATTTAAATCATTTGTTTATGTCACTGTTGAGATTCATATAGGTCCTCTATCAGACATCACCCTTTATAATAGCCACAAACAACATAAAATATCTTGGGGTAATAATGCTAACCAAACAGGTGAAAGACCTGTATAGCAAGAACTTTGAGTCCTTAAAGAAAGAAATTAAAGAAGATACCAGAAAATGGAAAGATCCCTCATGCTCTTGGAAGGGTAGGATCAACAAAGTAAAAATGACAATCGTACCAAAAGCAATCTACAGATTCAATGCAATTCCTATCAAAATTTCAGAACAATTCTTCATAGATCTTGAAAGAATAATACTCAACTTTATATGGAAAAACAAAAACAACCCTGTATAATAAAGGAACTTCCTGAGGCATCACCATCCCTGACTTTAAGCTCTATTATAAAGCTATAATCCTGAAAACAGCTTGGTATTAGCACAAAACTGGGCAGGTAGATCAGTGGAATCGAACTGAAAACCTTGATATAACCCACACACCTATGAATACCTGATTTTTGACAAAGAAGCTAAAATTATACATTGGAAAAATGGTATCTTCAACAAATGGTACTGGCACATCTGGGTAGTGGCACATAGAAGACTTCAGATAGACCCATGTCTATCGCCATGCACAAACTTCAGTCCAAATGGATCAAAGACCTCAACATAAATCCAGCCACACTGAACCTCTTAGAAGAGAAAGTGGGAGATACCTTTGAATGAATTGGTACAGGAGAATGCTTCCTGAACATAACACCAGTAGCACAGACCCTGAGGTCAACAATTAATACATGGGACCTCCTGAAACAGAGAAGCTTCTGTGAGGCAAAGGACAAAACAAAAAAGCAGCCCACAAAATGGGGAAAGATATTCACCAACCCCACATTTGACAGAGGGCTGATTTCCAAAATATACAATGAACTCAAGAAGCTAGTCTCCAAAACACCAAATAATCCAACTAATAACTGGGGTACAGAACTAAGTAGAGAATTCTCAATAGAGGAATCTAAAATGGCTGAAAGACACTTAAGAAAGTGCTCAACATCCTTAGCCATCAGGGAAACGCAAATCAAAACAACTCTGAGATACCAACTTACTCCTGTAAAAATGGCTAAAATCAAAAACACCAATGACAGTTTATACTGGAGAGGATGTGAAGAAATGGGAACATTTCCACTGCTGATAGGAGTGCAAACTTTACATAGTTCCAGGTTAACCCAGTTTACAGAGTAAGAACCTATCTCAAATGAAAACAAAGAAATTTGAGCTTAATACAATAACTAAATTTGTTATTAGAGTTTTAGGAGAATATCAGTAACTCATGGGGTCCTAGTGGACCAGATTCAGTCGCCCATACCACAGCCATTAATCAAAGAAAGCTGTAGTATTGAAGAATGAATAATGGATCTTTAATTAGTATTGCCACAGTGGGAAGAACAGATGAAGAGGCTTAGTCATCCCTCCTCAACCCATCTATCTCAAAGGATGTGTCTTAGGGTTACCATTGCTGCAATGAAATACTATGACCAAAGCAGCTTGGCAGGGAAAGGGTTTATTTGGCTTACACTTATATATCACTGCTCATCATTGAATGAAGTCAGGATAAGAACAGGGCAGGAGCCTGGAGGCAGGACCATATACTGAATCCATAGATGAATGCTCCTTAACTGGCTTGCTCGGTCTGCTTTCTTGTAGAACTTATAACAATTCACCCAGGGATAGTACCACCAACAGTGGCCTGAGCCCTCCCCCATCAACCACTAATTAAGAAAATGCTATACAGCCATATCTTATGAAGTCCTTTTATCAATTGTGGTTCTCTTCTTTAAAATAAACAAAAAAACAAAAAAACCTCTAGCTTGTGTCAAGTTGACCTAAAACCAGCCAGTACAATTAACACATAAACAAATCACTGTTAAGCCATAATCTTTCCTTTCTTGTTCTTCCCCAAGATTAAACATTAGTATCTACATTGCAAGATGAAAGTTACAAATTTTAAAAATCCCAGTCTTTAAAAATTCAAATATTTAGAAATTCAGTCCCTTTAAAATAACCAGTCTTCTTTAAAATCCAAAATATTTTAAAAGTCAGTTTCTTGGCGGTGAGATGCTTTAAAGTCAAAATAAATTAAATATTTCTCGCTTCAAGAAGATAAAACCAGGGTACAGTTACAATCTGAATAGAGAAAATCCTAATTCCAGACAGTATAAATAACTCAATATCCAATGTCTTACCGTCTTCTAGGCTCCTATGAGGGGCTTGGGTCACTTCTCCAGCTTTTCTCTCTTCATCTTCCACTGACTCCATTCTGTAACTGCGACTCTTCTTGGTCATCCCACAGTACTGGCATTTTTAAGACTTCAGGGGTTCCTTGATGTCACTGGGCTGCACTTTCACCAATAGCATCTCCTGATCTCTATCCAGGGACTGCATCCCTGCCACATAGTGCCAAGGCTCAGCTGTTCTCCATAACACCTTCAATCTTTCAAAACCAGTAGCACCTGGGTGACTTACAACACCAAGTTTGGATGCCAGTATGAGGTACAATCTTAGCCACTTCTGGAACACAGCTTCTGTGTGCTGATCCTGAGGAAGCACTTCCCAGAAGGCTTCACCTCAATGATGCAGGTCTCTTCTTAATCTCAGCTGATCCTTCAGCCCCAGCTGACCAGCAAAGGATTTACTTTAGTGGTTCTGGTTTCTTGTTAATCACAGTTGATTCTTCAGCTCCAGCTGAAATTATTCTTCACACAAACATTCTGGTGGAGTCTTTGCTTCCCTCCAGGTCTCCATCATCTGCACTGCTTTTCCTTATCTTCCAAGCTCCTGCAAAACAGATCACAGAGCTCTTAACACTCAATGACTTACCCCACACAAAGTTCTGAAGTCCATCCGCAATCCTCTCAAAAACTACACTGTCAGTTCTGTCACAGCAACATCCAACTATCCTGGTACCTAGTTAGGGTTACTATTTCTGTGATGAAACAGCATAGCCAAAGTGATTTGGGGGAAGTGGGTGTTTAGCTTCAACTTCCATATCACTATTCATCATTGAAGAAAACCATGGCAGGAACTCAAACAAGGCAGGAACCTGGAGACAGGACCTGATGCAGAAGTCATGGAAGAGTGTTCCTTAACTGGCTTGTTTTCCATGGCTTACTTATCCTGCTTTCTTGTAGAACCCAGGGCCACCAGCCCATGCATGGCACTGCCTACAATGGTCTGACCCCTCCCCATTAATCATTAAGTAAGAATACACTCTACATTGGATCCTATAGAGATGTTTTCTTTAACTAAGATTCCCTCCTTTCAAATAACTCTAGCTTGTGTCAAGTTGACAAAAACTAGACACCACACAATGATTTTGTTGAATGGAGAAAGTAGGTAGAGGATTAGGTTTTACACTGTGGTCTGTTGAGTCCTCTTGGTCAGGCCAGTGGTCTGACTGATCATTGTGCGATTCTGGCTCTGTAAAGGGTTCTGGAGAAGTCAGTACCCCAGGGACCACTTCAATGGAACATGTCCATGAGATGATGGCACATGTTCTAGGGTGTGACCTCCATTCCCATCTTAGGTAATGGTCCTCAGTAATATGGCCATCTGCCCTTGAGGGTTCACCCTTGCTTGAAGTAGTTTTGACCGCTTACCATTACTGTGTGATAGTATTCCTCAGGAGACATGAGCGAGCATCTACTCACCTCAGATAGGTAACTGATGAGAGAGAAAAGTAGGAATACCACCAAAGTTCAACTTGGTGAGCCATTGAGTTTTATTGGTGTTATTTATCAGAATGCAGATGAGGGACATTTACAGGAACAGAAGTGACTCAAAGACTCCTGCATTACAAAAAGCCTACTCCAACATGAGTGACACCCGTAGTATACTGAAGAACTTCAGGCTCTCCAGCAGGTTGGACAGTGTTCCTTTTGTGTGACTCAGGTACTCTGAGTGTCTCCTGGTGGCTCAGCTGGTCTCATTTTCTTTTAAGTGGCTTTTGGTCTCTGCTTCTTACAGGCAACTTAACTGGTCTGAGCCTACTAAACAGCTGGGATGATCTGAGAGTATCTCTCAGCTGTTCTTACAGCTCGGGGTACGAGGAGTGAGGGAATCTGTTCAGTTTCAGGGACTTTCTAAAACCTTTAAGTTGATTGCTTCCAAAACTTAAGATACTTCCCTATAAGGATGGGATGTTTCACCTCCTCTTAGAATGTCCTGTTGCTTCACCCCCTTTCTAATATCCTGGGTCTTGATGAGCTTCCTTCTAAGTCAGAAGGTTTAATCTGTTCTATAACAACCATCAAGATGCTATGGCTAGGCACTGTCATAGAATCCAAAACAGCTCCAGAAAAGAGTGACTCAGAAGAAGGGGGCAGAGTATAAAGAGGCAAAACAGCCAGAGAAGAACAAAATAGAGTGCTCAGTCCTTTGAACAGTTGTCTCCTCTCAGAAAATGCCGCTCAAGGTGTTCAAGGACAGAATAGAGTAGACAGAAATTGTCATCTGGAAAATTGAAAGAAAAAAAGATTAAGTAAAAGTGGCATTTATGACACCATCAAGTGGGAGTTTTGGAAGACAAGACACAGAAAAAAATCTTGAAAGCAAAAGAAGTCTCAGCTTCAGAATCTTCCCAAAGAGAAACCCCCAGAACTCAGGGATAAAGACAAAACTCTTTAGTTGGCACACAGTTGTATCCTCCAACTGTTACTGAAGGAGGCCCAGCCCTGATCAGAGAAATTCCCATAACAATATTTCACTCAAAATAAAAGACAAAACAAAACCACCCCCAACAAAAACCTACCTAGGTAGAAAAGAGAGTAAAACAGTTTTGACAGATAAAACACAGAAGCAACCTAATTATGTATCAACATATGAATGGATAAGAAAAAAATATAGGGTGCATAAACAATATGATACAAACATCCTTAAAACTGGGGGGGGGGAGTGACATACAATTAATGATATTAGACTAAGTGGAATAAGTCAATCAGAGAAAAATAAATGCTGCATTAACTTATGCAGGAACTGAAAAATAGCCAAAATCAAAGAGTTAAAAAACATAATGGGGAGGTCAGGATAATACAGTAGTATTGCTTAATTGGTATAGGGATGAATAGACAGCGAAAATGTTTGGATGACAATGTGAGTATGTATAACACTCACTGTACATATGAAAGTGAGTAAGATGGTTAAGTTGTATGTGTATATTACCACAACTTAAAAATTGAAGAAAGATTGATTCAAAGATATTTTAGCAGTAAAGATTCTTTTATGAAGCATCTGATTAATTAGTCTCTGAATTTAAACAAAAATAAAACTCAGCCACAAAAAAAGCCTATACTATGCTGGTTTTCATTTGAGAGAGTGGTAAAATGTAACCTGGAAAATGCTTTAAAATAATTCTCCCTTTAATTAAAAGTCACATTTATATTATGCAAAAATGTAAATTTGTAGCATCATTATTTTTATTCCCTTTAGACAAACATGGAGGGGGAAAAGGAATAGGCAAGAACATGCAAATGATCCTGTTTGTGTGTGTGTGTGTGTGTGTCTGTCTGTCTATCTGTCTATCTGTGTGTGTGTGTGTGTGTGTGTGTGTGTGTGTGTGCCTGTGTGTGTACAAGTCCTGGCAATGTTATTGCTGTTATTTGTGAAAAGCTCGGTTTATTCTAAATCTGAGCCTAATTAAGGAGAAAAAAAAATATGAGAATACCCTATGAACCACAGAGCACAGACTCAAACTTTGTATCTTTTTTTTTCTTTCCATTTTCCCAAATGGTTTCATATGCTTGCTTAACAATCGGAGAAACAAAAAGTGAGAACACATACAGAAAATTGTTTTCTCTTTCTCCATCATATGTTTTGTCTTTAAACAAATCATTCGAATAAATAATTTCCAGAATAAAATCAAAATAAAATAAAATCATGTGGAAATGAAGCTTATTGGGAGGAGTGACTGAATCAGAGAAAGCAGGGGTGTTTGGGGGTCTTCTGTTTTTCTTTTCCTGCATGTGACTTCTACCTCTATCTCTACCCATGTGACTTAACAGAAAATGATTGTCACTCAGAGTTTTCTTTGCAGTTGGAAACGAGCGAGGACACCGGGATCCACCATGTTCATTTTATCCCTGGAGTTTTGAAACTCTCATTCTAGGACTTGAACTTCTAGACAATTTCTTTCTATCATCTGTAAGTTTGTTGGAGCAAGCAAAGCCACTCAATGCACACTCACTGGCTTTTCTCCATAAAGACAAGAGTGACAATGAAATTCAGACATGAGGCAACCAAACCCTGCCACCCATGTCTACAGAAACATCTCCTGCAGTTGAAAACATTGTCTAATGAAATGTCAAGACCATACATTCTTTTAGTGTATAACAAAATTTAGTCTTGGATGTACTTTGAGAAACAAGAGTAACTGAGTTTGGCACCTCTTTACAGACATAATAATATTATTAACCCATCCAAAATCCATTCATTGTCTACTATATTGCCAAGTACTCTACTTCTGCCTTCAAGATGCTCATGACTGAGAGAAAGCTGGGAAAGAAAACCAAAGACGGAAGAATAAAATAGTTAAATGCTCTGTGAGGTCTATGTCCTCACGTTAGTTACAAGCACGCAGAAGAGGCATTTAACCTGGCTTGGAGTAAGGTGAAACACTCAACAAAACCATTTCAGTAGAGGTTACCTGAAGGATACATTTTATTGTAGAGGACAGGAAAGGACAAGGAAGACATACAGGCAGTGGGAAGCATGGGAAGACGTAAGCACCATTAGAAAATAAAACTACACTTTCAGATCAGATGCCAGGATGGAGGGTGAAGGCGGAAGACTTAACTAAATGTCAGAATCATCGCTTTAAAAACTTCAAGCTCGGGCTGGAGAGATGGCTCAGAGGTTAAGAACACTGGCTAGTCTTCCAGAGGTCCTGAGTTCAACTCCCAGCAACCACATGGTGGCTCACAATGAGATCTCATACCCTCTTCTGGCCTGCATGCCAGAACACTGTATGCATAATATAAATAAACATGAAAAAACTTCAAACTCGGTGGCAGTGGAGCTTTGAGAACAGACAGAGTACAAGTAGGCTTTACAAAAAGCAAGCTTAGGGGAAATGGGATGGCAGGATTCAGACAGTAATGATGCAGTGTATGAAGGCAAGACTAACAAACTACCTTCTCTTCTGCTGCTCTAACAGATTCCAGAATTCTTCTTGCTAAGCCCTGACCCACTTGTCAGTGGTCCTGTACGCCCAGCAGATGAGAGCAGCCCACAACTCTGTTTGCCCTCTAGCCTACAAAGCTAGGTAGCAAAACTAGAGGAGAGAAAGTGGTGGGGAACTAAATGTCAGTGAGTCAATGAGGAACTTCAAGATGAGCTAAAACGAACCATTTCACTCCCCTCACCGGACGAAGGAGTAGAGCATCTGGGAGGCAAGAAGAATTTCAGGATGGGAGAGTTGACTGCATTGGCCCATGGAAGTTCCCTATGCAATCTGCCTTCCAGGGAGCAGGTAAGCTACCCATAATCCCCACCTTCAACCCTACAGGAAAGGGAGAGAGACAGAGAGAGAGAGAGAGAGAGAGAGAGAGAGAGAGAGAGAGAGAGAGAGAGAGAGAGAGAGAGAGAGAGAGAGAGAGAGAGAGAGAGATCCCACAGGAAAAGCTCCTGGTAGGGATATGAAGGGGAAAGTAAATTACAGCGTTATTGTTATGAATGGCAGCAGGGACCAGTGGGACCTAACAGGGAAAGAAGCCAGCCGTCCTTGTTCCTCAATACAAAACAATGTGCGTATTGAACTGGAAAGAGAATGGAATGTTCATCAA